TTTTTTTTTATCATTTTATTTTGAATATTTTTAAATATTAAAAAAAATGGAAAATATTGTAAAATTTATACTTTTTTATTTAAAATAAGTATCTGATAAACTTATCAAAAGAATTAAAAATCAAACTTCAGATCCTTGTCTTATATGTAACAAAAAAATTTTTTCAAATAATATACAGTCCCTGGCGAAAAGAATGGCGATAGAAGATTGCATCTATTTTAGACTACAGTTTCACCACTTTTTGGATTTAAATATTTGTTTATATGCCCGAATTGGATATTAGAACCTGAATTAAAAAGATAAGTTAAAAAAATAAGATTTGTTATTTGTTTTTATTTTGATTTCCTTTCTAAAACTATACCAAGCTCTTTAAAAATACAAAGAAATTCTGTTAAGTCACTTTAGGACCAAAAAGTACTAATATAAAGGAAATTTCTAATTGATTGTACATTCCTTTACACACATGTGAACGATATGTCAGTTTACTAAATAAAACTGGCAAAATTTCTATTGATCATTCTTCTGACCATTCAAGAAAATTGGCTTTAAATCAACGCTGCCATATTGGAAAAATTCTGCAACATAATCATTTTACTACAGCAGGCAAAATTAAGGCAAAATTGAAAGAAAAAGATCCTAACTTTGATATCAGTGAACGTACGATATGTCGTGAACTCAACAATCTTAGATATATTTCTGTTTTTCTAAGAAAGGTTCCTCTCTTGACCTAAAAAGTGAAGGAATTTCGTTTGTTTTGGACACGTGATCATTCGCAATATAACTGAAAAAAAGTTGTTTTTTCTGATAAAACAACACTTCAGATATTTAGAAATACCATGTGTACATAGTCTCATAATGCAGAACCAATTGCCTCTATGGTAAAACACCTATTCAAGGTTCATGTTTGGGCAGCGATTAGTGCTAAAGGAAAAATCAGCATTTATTTATTTATTGAAAATTTAGATTATTATTTGTATTGAAAAATCTTAGATGACCATCTGTATAACAATACAGATATATTATACAGACGCAGTTGGGTCTTCCAACAAGATAATGACCTAAAACACATCTCACACAATATTTAAGGGGACTTGAAAAACATCTTTCAGGACAAGTTCTTACTTAGCCTTTATACAGCCTAAACTTGAACCCTATTGAAAATGTATGGGCTGTATTAGATGGAAAGGTGAAGAAAAAGATCAAGTATTTAGTAGAAAAAAAAAAATATTATCTGCAATGTATTCCTTAATACAATCTGATAGGAATGGGACGATCTTGATGACGCTATATTACTTCAGTGCATCGAGAGCATATCAAGCTAGGTTAAAGCATGTATTAATATAGAAGGAGGATACACCAAATATTAATTAATAATATAAAAGTTGTCGTTAGTATTGTTCTTATAAATAATAAAAAAAATATATATATTAAAATAAAGTTTGTACATACCGTCGAAATATATTTCTGCTATTCTTTTCACCAGGGACTGTACTTATATTATATACAGTTTTAATCTATAATTATATAATACACTAAAATTATCTTATTATATGTATAACTACTAATTATCCTATTTGTGATAAAGCTCTTGAATAGAATTTATATAAACAAAATAAAAGTATTAGATATTTTAAAAAAGTAAAAACATTAAAAAAACCAAAAAATATTATCTTTATTTAAGAATTAACAACTAATGCTTCTAATTTCAAAATAAAGAAAGAAGATAAAAATGATGATACAAATAGTTTTTTTAATTTATATTGTAAAATAACAAAAGCTGAAAGTCAAAATAAAGTTTCAAATCAAGAAATAATTAAATGTTATTTCTTATTTGGTAAAACTATATCAGAAAAAACTGAACATTATGAAAGATTTTATGTAGAATATATAGCATAACAAAAAGTTAATAAAGAAATATGACAACAATTTCCAGATGATACAGTAGCAGTCATAAGTATCTGACTGCTAATATTTTCTAAAATCAAATAATAACATCTGTTAAAATTTTTCAAAATTTAAATTCAATACCAATGTTAAATTACATGTAAAATTATAGATTTTTATCATGTATAATTTAGAAGTTAGATAATCAGTAGATTTTTTATTTTAAAAAAATGATATTTTTTTATGTAAACAATTTCATTTTTTATTATTTAATGTAATATATTAATTATTTAGAAGTTATTACACATTTTTTATAGAATTTTAGATAGATTATATAATTAGTTAGAAAACTTCAATAATACTATATTCTTCCTTTTAATTTTTAAATAATATTTGTATTTATTAACTTTTTGCCAAATTTACTATAAGTTATCTTTTCTAAAATATTTATAGATATAAGCCAAAAAGTTACTTTTATAAAAATTATATATAAAATTAATATTAGGTTTTTGCTAAAAGAAAATTAGTTTATCAAATTGCAAATCTAAAAAATCACTATAATATAGACATTTTAGCAAATATTATAACTTTTATTTATTACTAAAATCTTTATTTAAATAATATTTTTAAATATAATAAATATTATAATTTTATTACAATAAATATAAAGTAGCTATATTTTTGAAATTTCATTTTAATCATTATTGAAATTTATATAAAAAAAACTATTTTGTTTAATTTATTAAAAAATATCAGTATTTTACATGCAAAATTTATCAATTATCTAATTTTTTATTTATATATTATACAAGCTTATAATTTTATATATGATTAATATTGGTATTGTACTTGAATTTTGGAAAATTTTAATAGATATTATTAATTAACTTTAAGAATTATAAGGGGTCAGATACTTATGATCACTACTGTATTTCATGAGATAATCTTAGAAAAACAAAAGAAAAAACCAGAAAAATTTATAAGTTTTTTAGTAAAATTGAAGAAGAAAAAATTATACATGTATGATTAATTTCTGCATAGGATATTTTAAAATTAAGTTCTAATAATATTCAAAATATTGTTGAAGAAATTTTTAATTAAAAATAAAGATATTATTTTATAATCATCTGATGAGACTGTGAATTCAATTCACAATCTAATCATATGATATTAATTCTTTAAAAATGAAAAATAGTTATAAATTTTTATAATTATTATTTTATAAATTTGTATTTTAAATTTTGTAATATCTTTAACTAAGAAAAAAATTATTATACATAGAATTTTTTATAAATTTAATATAATAAAGATATTTTAAAATTGTTTAAATATTTTTTTATTTATTTTAATTTTTAAAAATAATATTTTTAGAAATTTTAATATAATATTATACAAATTTTTTTGCAAATTTATTTATATAAGTTAAATTATATTGTATTTTCTTTTTGATAATCATTTTAAAATAAACTTTATCATAAATCTAATCGAAAAAAATAAATAGGTTAATCAAAAACTGATATTTAGAAATATTTTGAAAAAAAAGGAGAAAGAATAAGAGGTCACTGTAATGAAATATGCAAATTTTTATAATTAAAAACAATAAATAGCATAACCTAATAATATGAGAGTATATATAGCATTTTATTATGAAAAAATACCTTATAAAATGAAAAATTACTATTTAGAAATTATTAAGAATAATACAAAAAACAAAAATTAGATGAATAACAAACTAAAAATTTATGAAAAATTTAATTTAATAAAAATTGATTCTATTAAAATTAATATGGCAAATTATGCTATTATTAATTTTTTTGCTTGTTGTAATATTCCTTTTCATTTTGTTGAAAATTCTTTTTTTGTTAATCTCTTACATATATTATATCTTGGATACTTTTTTCCAAGTAGAAATACCCTTTCAATAGCTATTCTTAATACAGAATTAGTTTTTGTAACTAATGAAACTAATAAAATATTAAAAAAGGAAACGAATCTTACCTTAGGTAGTAATTTTATTATCATTATTCATTATTATAAATATTACTAATACATATATATGTATTATATTTAAGGTTTAGATAGATAAACCAATCTATCTGGATAATCTCTTTATACTTTTATTATTTTTACAAAATAAAAAAAAAGAAATTGTTTATTTTATACAAAATCTTTCAAAAAAATTTATACTATATATTTCTATCAGAAAATTAATTAAAATAATCAAAGATGTAGAATATGAAAAGTTTTCTGATCTAGTTTTAGATAATGCAAGAATTATGATTTTAGCAAAATATTTAATTCATAAAGAATATGAAGCTATTATTTTTATTTGATGTATTTCCTATCATATTATTCTTATTACTACATATATTTGTTGATTAAAATTTGCAAATTCACTTTTAAAAAAATATATTAAATTAGTACACTTTTTAAAAATTTCTCATTAAGAAACCATCATTTAAAATAAGAAATTACTGAAAATAATATATAAGGGGTAGTTTAAAAAGTTATTATAAAATAAGATGAACTACTGCTTAGAATTATACATATTCTATTCTTAAATATGAGGATATCTTAAAAAAAGGTTAATATTAATATATTTATTTAATTTTTATTTAATAATCTAATTAAATTAAATTAAATTAATTAATTTTAGATTGTTGATGAGGATCTAGAATATCTAAAAAAAGATATTAAAGCTATTATTACAAGATGATTTTTTATAAATCTTGAAGAATTGGAAAAAATATTGAAACTAATAAAAGAAACTGTAAATGATTAGAAATAAAATCAATAATTTTAGCAGATTATTTCTGTCAATTAATTAAATTTCATATTCAATTAAAAATTTACCAGATTCAATATTGATTTTTTGAGAACAATGTATTACTGCTTTTAATAAAAAATAGAAATAATTTGATTTTAATTTATATGTTAGCTTATCTTCTTCACTTTTAATATTATAGTATATATTATATATTATATATTATATATTTATTTTAATATAATTAATTTAAATTATTTATTTATAATTTTATAATTAAATAGGAAAAGAATTTCAATAATCAATATTTTGCTATGTGATATATTGAACTATTAAAAATATTTGGTTAAAAATGGAAGTAGGTAGTTCAAATTTAAGTGCAAAATTAATTGCACAATTAGCAACTTATCGTGAAAAAAACCATTATATGATGATGAATTTATATCTGAATATTATTCAATTAAAAGTTGGTGAAAACTAATAGAATAAAATGAAAATTATATATAATAGTTTACTATAAAATATTATTAATAACTCTATTAAATGCAGGTTGTGAAATATTATTTTCAGATTTTAGTTGAAATATGAGTAAAAAGAAGAATAAGATAAATACTTTTAATTATAATTAAAAAATAAATTAAGATAAATTCTAATTCTAATATTTTTTTTAGATTAAGTGTTGAAAGGTTACAAGAATTAGTTAAACTACATGCTTATTATATTTCAAATGTTAAAAAATAGCTAAAATTTGTCACTTAAGATATAAATGATGATGATATTTATAATACTATGCAAAATATTTTTTCTGAAGAAATTGATTAGATGAAATTGTAGATAATAATAAAAAAGAATTTTATGAAATAGATGAAGAAGATATTATTAATATAGAAAATAATGAGCAATATGAACTTAATAATAATGAAATATATATTGAAAAAATTTTTAATCTATATGATAAAGAATTAGCTGAATTATTAAAAACTCAAGAAGTATAAGTTATTATTGAACCAAAAATTATCGATTATAGCAAAAAAGAATTTGATTTAGATAGTTTATTAGATCAAAATCTTAATAGTTAGAGATTTTTTTTTATTTTATATTTATAAATATGTATAAATATTTTATTATAATTTTTTTTCATTTTAATAAATAATAATCATAATTTTTATAATAATTAATTAATTAATTTCTTATAATAAATTACATTTTCGTAATTAATTACCATATAATTAATTACCAGGTGGTAATTAATTTCACTTGTAAATAATTACCAGCTTGTAATTAATTACATAATTAATTACATATTATATATTAAAAATTACGTATTAAGTTTTTGATAAAACATTTACCATGATATGTATAATGTAATATTTTGGAATTGGAGTTATAAAGAGAAAAAAGTTTATTATTGTATGTTATCACCTATAACATAGTAAAAACTGAAAAGTTTATCAAAAAATCAGATCAAGAGAAAATAAGTCAGATATTATAATTGTGTTTATCTTCATTAGAAATGGAAAGGAGTTATATTCTTTGAAAGTGAAAAATGGGATGCCAGTGAAGATAAGATTTATCATGATTATAATAAGTTAGTGTAACTCTGTTTAGATGGATCTAAAGAACTTGAAAGAAGGTGCATGAAAAAATCTTTTTATAAAATACTATATAGAGTTCAGTGTAAATATTACAGGTAAGTGTATAGAGATTCACGGATTAAAAAAGGAAAAAGGTGTAAAATACCATCTACCTGTTGTTAAATCGAAAATACCCTTGGGTAAAGAAACGGTTGATGAAGTGGAAGAGTTTGTTCATAGTCTATTGGTTTTACAGGTAAATATTCTTTTAATTTTGCTAAAATGATGTTTATAAGATAATTTAATATATAAATGAAATATTTAGAATGGGCTTATCGTAAATTTACAGGCTATTGTAAATAGTTTTCAGAAAAGACCGAGAAAGTAAAATTATTTTTATATAGTAGCAGAATATATATCTTGATCCTGTATTTTATTTTTTATTTTTTTCTGTATCATTAAAGCATGCCTGGTGGCTCGATTTTACATATATACATATATAATCATGTAGAATTTTCTTGGCAAAAGTGACCGGCGTTACAATTTGTAACGCTCATGTGATTTTTATTCAGAAATTATAGAATATTACATAGCAAAAGAAACTGAATTGTCCTAAGACATGTTTATATTATGAAGACAATATATAATTATTCTGGTCTTATTGAATATTATTAAAACTTTGAATCACAAGCTTAATGATTATTTTATTGTCATCAATTTGCATTACAGGTTGTATGATTTATAACAAGTGTTTAATATATTTCAAATAAGAGCATTTAGAAACGTCCATACCAGAAGGGGCATATTCGATGACAATCACGTGTTTTGTTAACAAGTTGCCTAAATTTGGGAGTTTCGAGGGTATCACGTTTGTATTCTGCATTTGTTAATGGCAACCCCGGATTACAGAGCTTAGTATACAGCGCATTATATGTTTTTTGAAAAATCTCTCGAACTGTCAAAAGTGTTTCCAGTTCATCAACAAAGGACAACATCTCTTTTATTGATGCTGGTACTTTAATTTGACCAATATGGAGCATAAAATATGTTCCTTTTTTAAAATCCAACATATAAAAGTCGATCGTATAATCTATATGATGAAATAGAAGTGGTTAAAACAATTTACTATTAAAAACATACATTATATCAATTTACTTACCAACACACTGAAATCCTATTATATTAACATCCGCACCTTTATCTATCGAAAAATCCATGCAATCCTTCATAAACACGCCAATTCTAATTAGATCATTACAATTTTTATATACATTGTTTTTTTGAGAAGGTGGGCTTACTTCACCCACAAATATAACAGATTCTGTTTGATGCTGGTGAATAATTGAAACAGTGAAATCTGGCTGTTTACTTCTACCTTCAAATTTTCGTGTTTTACTTTCATTCAAAGCTATATTCGGCCATTGTACAATATATTTATCAGGATTATGAAATGTGCTTTTCATTATATAATCTAAATAATTTGTAATTAAAGTAATTTCGCTGGGTTCATTTCTAATTTTCACACTAGGTAGTGTTTCTAGACCTTTTAAAATTATATTACCCAATTTTTCATTTAAAAGATGATTATCTGCTAACTCCTTATGAAACCAATTCATGGCACAGACACGAGATTCCTTTGACTTCTTGATTGCCTCCCGAAATTTCAATTCATATTCTGAATTAAGTGTTATATTCTGAGTCGGAATAACATGTTGACATATTTCATCTAGGAGACTTGATCCAAACATTTTAATCATTGTTATTTGGTCTTTTAAATACCCATTCGTCATCAAAATCAATATTTGTTCGTTTTCTTTGAGGAGTAATAAATTCATTCTAATGATACAAATGGTATTGGCGTCAGATTAAGAAAAGAGAATTGAATTGTCAGGCTATCAGATCAACTTACCTCTAATTTTTGAAATTCTGATCTTAATTTATTACTTGATATGTCATGCTCGGTTATAACGTTAGAATCAACAAGACATTTATGTTGTTTCTAAATAATTCTAAATTTGTAAAAAATCAAATATAGCCTACAATACAAATGTAAGCACTAACCTTTTTCTCTTCCATGATAATTTGATTAACGCGAGTTGTGTTTTGCTCATTTTGTATCCGAACACTATTCCAATACTGCTCTACATTAATAGAATACAATTGTTTGTCAATCACATTTGAAAGGCTTTCTGCTCGCTGGGAGTACTCATCATCATTCATAGAAGAAGTTTTTTCAAAATTTTCCGCAAATCATCTTCAGCTTGATCTCTTTGAGAAAATTGATATCCTAATTTTTTAAAAAATTTGCTAGCCGTAAAACCCTCTGAAATAACTTCTTTTAGGATATAAATGTGATCCTAAAATTAAAATTGGATAATAATTAGTATATATATTAATCAGTAATGATCAATAAAAAAAAAATATAATACATGCCATCGTCATCTAAAAACGTAATAGGTGGTTATTATTACAAGAAAAGTTAGTAAAAAGTTCCATAATAATTATTAAATGATATTTCATTTTTCAACCCAACAATTTTCAGTTATGGTAAGATCAATGCATCCCAAATTGTATTGATGCATTCATTTCTCCGACAACACCAAAGCGAGCGACCTCCAGTGGAATTACAGGCCAGGTAAATGCTGGCTGGAAGAGCCAGAACCCTACCATATCTTCGAAAGCTATATAATATTCCTCCGACAACACCAAAGCGAGCGACCTCCAGTGGAATTACAGGCCAGGGAAATACCGGGTTTGCAAAACATTCATAACACTTAACTGCTTAACTGAAATTTAGAGCAAAAAGACGCGTCGCAATAATGAATTTATTGATGAACAACGCACAAAATTTTGATTGGCAGTCACAGCACGTGACTTAATCCATTATAATCGGGCGTCCTTAACCTAGGGAGGGGGTGTAGACCCTTATCGTCCAACCCCATGTATAAATAAATATTTTTAAAGTATATATCATGTGACATATACAGTTGCGGTTTAAGGTCTACCCCCCTCTCCCTAGGTTAAGGATGCCCATTATAATCAAATCCTATCAGAAATAATGATCAATTTATTTTTTAGTCGAAAATTCCGAACACGCAAATAACAATGTTTAAAAAATTGCGGGATTGTTAATTCATTTTTGACATCGCATGTTCATAGGTGTAACCGTTTTCTATTCAGAAATGAAACGGATTGTAGTTATTAATGTTCGTGCTAGCTCTATTGAGATGTTATCGTAGATAGTTAGGCAAATGAAAAACTTAATAGTATAGAGACAATAGATAGATTTGATTATTACAATCAATAAAGTTAACTCGATTTTAAAAAATTTTTTTTTGTGTGATTAAACTTTTGAATATATTCTATTTTGTAATAAAACAATGTCGAACGATCAATTAACAATCAATACCTTGAGAAAATTAAACTCTTGGCTTGCTTCCGAGATTACTGAACTTAGAAAAGAAAATTAAAACAAGCTATCGAAGAAAATGCTGTGCTCAAGTTTAGATTCGAAGAATAGAAAAGAAAAATAAAACAGATGCCTCCAAACTTACTGCCGAAAATGTTGAACCAAAATTAATTATTAATTTTTTATAATTTTCTAAAATTTCACTATACAATAAATACATTAAAAGAGTTAATAATTATAATTCAAAGATTTTATATTAATTTTTCTTATAATTTATTCAAAATATTTGACCTTTTTGTAATAATAAACATATTTATAAAGAAAAAAATAGCTAGATAAAATAACTATTTTTAACAAATTAATTACCTTTTCTAATATAATTTCAAGTTTTTCTGAGATAATAAATAATTTAAGTAGGAGGACTTTAAATATTATTTTAAAAGATAAAGTGTTAGAAATAATTTCAATATATTTTAAAAAGTTGAGAATTATCTATTTAAAAAATAAATATTATTTAATATAAAATAATAATAATTCAATAGTTTTACTCATTCTTTATATACTGTAATATTATTTTTTATACTCCTATTATTTTTGTATAAAATATTGGTTAATAATACTGATTAAAATTAAAAAAAAAAATCAGATATATAATAATCAACTAAAAATTGATTTAATTTAACTTAAAATCAAATATTATTAAGGATCAATTAAAATTTAACTTAACTTATTTATAACTAATTATTATATATTAATAATTAATTAAAATAATTAAAATTCAACTTATTTTTATTTATAACTAATTAAATAATCAAATTAAATTGATAAATTTAAATGTTATTAATTTTTATTTAAAAACCAATATATTTTAAATCATATTAATGATTATTATAGATATTATATGATTTATTTATTATTATTTATTTATTTATTTATATTAATATTACAATTATAGTAAAATAAATTCATTTTTATATAAATGCACTTTATTATATTATGTAATTTAGTAATTCAGTATAAGAAAATCATTTTAGCAATTTAATTAAATTTATTCAATAATGCTAAATTTACTTGAATTTTAATTATCATTAAGGTTAAACTAGTATTTATAAAATAAATGATATTTTTCTTAATATTAATAATACATAAATTTTCTTTTTTATTGTTTTATTTAATTTAATACTTTAATCTAAAAATTGTTTTTTATAATTTAAATAAAATTATTGGCAAGTCTGAATTTAATTGAGTCTCAATTTTTATTAAGATTTGTTTAATATTTGTATAATAAATTACATTTTAATACTAATAATATAAAAATTTATTTAATAATTTATTTAATTTTAGCATTTTTGTTTAAGAAAACTGTTTAATAAATTCAAATTTACTTGAATTTTTATTTTTTGTTAAGATTAACTAATATTTATTAATCATATTTTTTATTATTAATAATATACAAATTTACTTTTTATACTATTTAATGATTTTTATTAAAAAATTTAAATATTATTAATTATTTTGACTAATTTTAATAATTTTTATTTAATTGAAATAAGTATAATTTAAAGCTAATTTATAAATAATTTATATTCTAAATTAATACTAAATTATTTTATTTAGTTTATACTGATCAAAAATTAAATAATTCTATAAAATAATATTAGACTTAACTAAATTTGATTATTTAATTTTTAATCAAATTGAATTATTTTAATTAATATTATAAATTTATTAGAATCTTTATTATAATTTATCCTTTAAATGATAAGTATAAAATTATTTATAAATATTTTAGAAAATTTAAAATATTTTGATATCTAATGATTATAAAAAGATGAAATAAATTTATTATATTATTATATATTTAATAATAATATTTTTAAATTTTTAAAATTAATTTTTTAATTTTTGTAAATAACTTATTATTAAAAATATAATCAGATTTATTTTATTAAATCTAATAAAAGTAGTATTTTTATATTTTTGAGATTAATAGATAGTAAAATATATGAATTTAAATTTTTAATTTTTTTTAATAATGATTTATTATATATTTATCTTTAAAATTCAATAGTTAATTACAATTTTATTTTAATTTTTACTTAGAAAATGGCATAAAATTTATTATAAAAATATAAATTTTTAATAATATATTTTAAAAATATTTAAATATAATTAAAAATAATATTAATTAATATATAAAATTGCCTACAAATTTGTAGATAAATAATTAAAGTAATAATCTATTCTTAAGATATTTTTTATATCTATTTTAACCAAAAAATAAAGAAAATATTTCTTTTAACTAATTAATTAATTATTTATTATTAGATTTAATAAATTTTAAAAAAGGTTTTATTATTTATAATAAATGAAAAGAAAGCTCAAATTTAGATTTATTAATTTAAAGCAAAATTATTTCTTAAATTGTAAAGTAGGCAATTTTGCTTATGAATATAAAAAAAAGTATTAATTTTTTAATAAAAAATAAAATATTAATATTAATAATATAATTATTATGTAAAAAAATATAGTTTAATATATATTTTATTAAGTTTATTAAAAGAAATTGTAAGTTTATTAAGAAGCTTTTAAATAATTCAATTTTTAAAATTAAATTTTGAAAAATTTATTATAATAATTTTTTAAAATTTTCTTAAAATTCATATGTTTACAAACTATTAAATCATTTTACTATTAACAAAAATCATAAATTTCTTAGTAAATTATAAAATTATAATAATTAAAATTATTCTTCATAATATATTTTATAATATTTTATTATAATTAATATTGCTAAAAGTAAATGTTAATAAGATGGTTAAAGATCAATAATAAAAATTTTTAATTTATAATTTTTTTAAAAATTATAAATTTTTAACTTATAAATAACTTTAAATTATTTATTATATAATTAAAAAATAAAATCTATTATAATATTATATATATTTATAAATTTAATTTTTTAAAATTTTTTTAAAAATTTTAATTTTTATAAAAGTAAATCAGAAAGAAATTTATAGTAATAAGCAGGTTAATTTGTCTGTGATCCTCTACAATTTAAGAAATATTTTTACAATTAAAATAATTAGACTTATATTAAATATTAATTATATTATTTAATTTCTATAAATATAGAAATTATAATTATAACTTATATTTAATTAAGAAAAATTAAAAAGATATTTATATCTATTTATTTAAATTTTATCTTTATAATTATAATATAATCTAATATAATTATATTATATTTTAACTACTAAACTATTGCTTTACAATAAAGCATGTCATATGAAATTATATAAATATCTAAAAAAGAAAATTTATATAACTAATTTTGAGACTCAAATTCAAATTTTACTAGGAGACAAAATTTTTTTTTTTAGAAATTTATGTAATACTATATAATTAAGTTAGTTTATTTATATAAATAATCTAAATATTATTATTATACAAGTTTTTTTTTATTATATAAGATATTATTTAAATATGTTCAATTATTTCTTAAATTATAATATAAAATTATTTATAAAATATTTTAAAACTTAAAATATTTTAAACATCGAATAATTATAAAAAATAAAATAAAATTTATTAGATTTATCATATTAAAATATATTTAATAAAATAAATGAATATAACAAAAAATTTAATGATAATATTTTAAAATTTTAAAAATTATTAACAGGAGTTTGTTATTTATTACTATTGGTAATTAACATTAATATTATATATTTCTTTTTTGAATATTTATGTAATTTTATTTAAATTTTACCAAATCAAAATTGCTTTTGAATTTGTGTAATCTTATTTA